ATGTCTCATTACCCCTGTTTCTTTGCACAAATGATCAAACTGATTATTGCAGAATTCTAACCCATTATCTGTTCTCAAACATTTCAGCTTCTTTCCCGTCTTGTTCTCCACCAACGTGTTCCACTCAACAATGTTCTGGTAAGCTAAATCCTTAGTCTTTAGGAAATAGATCCATACTTTCTTACCAGTAGTCATTGATGAAAATTAGGAAGTACTTGTTCCCTGATAGGCTTGGGGTGACATTTGGTGAACCCCACATATCAGAATATACATATCTTAGAACTTCCTTTTTTGTGTGTTTTCCTTTCGGGAAGCTTTGCTTACGTGATTTTTGTGCAGGCTTTGCAGAACCCGAGTTGTTTAATGTCACTCTTCAGCAAGTACCCTTTCCTGACCAAGGCATCCATCGAGGATTGGATCATGTGAGCAAGCCTCGAGTGCCACTTCTTTGTCATATCAACAGGTAGTTTCACGACATTTGCTTCTGCTTCTCTAATCTTTCCTCGTAGATAATACAGCCCCTATTTATACTTGCCTGACAACACCTTCTTACTGTCTTTGTAGAATGCCACTAAGAAGTCTTCCCCACAGTACTTACAACCAGACTGCTCTAGTTGCTCTTATGAGATAGGTTCCTCCCCATGTCCGGCATATATCTCACGTTGCTGAGAGTGACCACTAAACCATCAGGATTATCAATGGTAACTTTTCCGATCCCTTTAACTTTACAGTAAGTGTTGTTTCCCATTAGGACCTTGTGACCATCATACTCCTCAAAATCAGATAGCACCTCTCTCCTTGGTGTGATGTGAGACGTACACCCTGAGTCTAGAACCCATTCGTTTTTAGGGTCTTGTAGACTCGCCGTTAGGGCTGTAGATTCAGGAAGCTTTACTGCCACATTTGCGGAATTGTTCGGTTTGTTCTTTCTCTTGGGGCAGTCTTTCTTCCAGTGAGTTTCATCACCACAAATCCAGCAAGCCTTAGGTCCAAATTTTGCTTAGACTTAGACCTCCCTTTGCTGTTACTTCTCCCCTTGTGTTTGCTGTTATTGCTGCTGTTTCCACGTCTTTCGGGTCTCCCCCTTTCCTCAACGTACAGCCCTTCAGCACTTTGCTTTGACTTGTTTAAAATTCTCTTCTGCCTTAACTCTGTTTCCTTTGCATATGCAGAAGTTGTTACCTAAGCTACTGTCAACGTATCCTTCCTTGACCCGTACTTCAATGTGTGAACCAATGGCTCGAAAGGTGGTGGGAGACTCGTAAGTAGCTGAATGGCTTGATCCTCCTCACTGATAAAGATCTTCAAACTTGCAAGATCCGCGTTGAGCTTCAAGAACGAGTCCAGGTTCTCCTCAATGGTACGACTTTCTTCCATCTTAAGCTTGCAAAACTTTGCTTTAGGTAGATTCTATTTGGTAGAGACTTTGTTTGATAGTCTCTTTCCAAAGCTTTCCACATACCGTAGCAATTGGTTCATGCATAATTTTCCTCAATATTTTATCTGTTAAGCATGTTCCCATCAAGTTTCTGACCTTGATATCTCTGTCTATATCTTTCTGATCCCATTTCAGATCCTTTACCATTGACACAAGCCCTGACTTCAAATCTCCTGGAGTTATCACTCCCGACGCTCCAGTTCCTGGTGACACTAACCCCGCTGTCACAGTCTCTGCCATTGATGACTCTGACGTTGATTATTTCTCTTGCAAGACTGATGCAAGACCCTGTATCTCGAGTTGCCCGAGAAACCTGTACTTCCACATCCCAAAATCTCCCGTACCATCGAACTTCTCCATCTCAAACTTTCCTAGTGTTGGCTCCATAGCTAACCGCTTCTTCGTCTTGTTTTGTTACTGCAGATAACACAAACAATAAAGAGGAAGCACAATCAATAGCAGCCTGATCCTAAAACTAAGATTCCAGTTCAAAAGTTTCTAGAGAAGTGAATAACACAGAACGAGATGACTCCCTGTGGATAGTGATGATCGATGATGATATGATCCTTGTTATGGAAGATCCAAGCTGATTCACCAATGATCCGTGAAACTACTTCGTGATCGTCGTCCCCTGAAACTGGTAAGATCCGACTCCTTGTTGCTTCCTTGCTTCTGCGATCTGATCATCTTTGTATCTCCCGAACGTAGGAACCTACGCTCTGATACCACTTGTTGCCGATACACTATGGATCCGATCTCTGATCTCCTTGCAAGTAAGAACTCTCTCTCTCTCTCTCGCTCACTCGTTTTATTTGAATAGAAACTTGAGAAAAGAAAAGATGAATCACACGATAGAGACACAGTTTATAGAGTTCTCCAAAACTTAGGGTACATCTCTTTTCAGGTGTTAACCCGGAATCCACTAATGCTCTTAGTTCGTGCTTTTACAGAGAATCGCTCAGAGTACAAAAATGGCGTAACAGAATCAAGAAGAAGAAGAAGACTAAGTGAATGACTTAAATACACAGCTACTTATCTTATCTGTGACGCGCGATCCATTTGGGCCAGCAGCAAACAAGCGATGCCCAACTACCTTTGTCTCCTTTGTACACGTAACACCATTTGGGCCTTAGTTGCCAAAGGCCCAACTCCAGCTGCAGAATGCAGACCTACGTCTCACAAAGACAATGCAAGAACACTTTGTAATATCCCGATTTCAAAAATATGAATATATATATCTGGAGAGATTTAAGATAATTGATTTGGCCATCTATGTCACCAAAGTGCACTTATCTTTTTCGTCATTGATGCTGAAAGAACATCATAGTTTAGCATGCTTAAGCTGGAGTGAGACTAGAATAGGTGACTTATCGGGAAGTGATTCGCGATATCGCATGAGTAAGGACAAAACACGGAAAAAGATTGTGTGGTGACTGCAAAGTGAATATTCTATGACTTTCGAACCTCCCACAGACCATCGGACAGCGGTGGGCTATCACGGGCCCGAGAGAGGACTTAGGTGGGTCTGATCACCGGTAGAGGTGGTCCAGCTTTACACACGTCAATTCAAATGATAAAGACTTTCAAGAAGCCGGTTCAAGAAACAGGTTTGATATTCGGTTGATGTGTCAACCACCGAGTTCTCCAGATTTGAATGTTCTTGTCTTCTTGACCTTGGATTCTTTAGTGCTATCCAAGCCTTGCAACATAAGATATGTCCCAAAAGCGTTGAAGAGCTTCTTAGTGCTGTCAAAAAATCTTTTGTAGAGTACCCAACAAAACAAGATCAACCATATTCTTTTATCCTTGCAACTTTGTATGCAAGAAACTATGAGACTTGGAGGATCGAATTACTACAAAATTCCACATATGAAGAAAGACGCATTGGAAAGATCGGGTCTTCTTCCTAAACAAATATATTGTGACCCTACTATTGTAAAGAGTGTGAGAAACCAAATAAAAACTTACAATTGGCTTCGTTGTTTTCCTCTCTTTTTTTTTCTCTCTAATTATTCGTTTGGTTTTGCTCCTGAGATTGTAGAATGAATAATAATATTCTATTATCAATAACGTTGCTTCTATACGGAATACGGAGATTGTTTAACTCATTTATACAACAGGTTAAAATGTAGCACAAAAGTCATAGAGAAACGATATAGAATTTTATTAATAATCATTCAAAACCAGAAACAATAATTAATCGCAAATACCTTATCACTGGATTTATCATTCAAAATATATTTAGGAAAATAAATTTTAAGCATCTCCACTGTTATATTTTGAGACTCCTTATTAAGCTCTTCTTCTTCATTAAGAGATTTGTTTATATCGAAAGCATATACCACTTTAGCATCGACATCATGAATTTGAGTTTTGTTATTGAGTGGACGTTCTCCTTCTTCGTAAGGAAGTTAGTTTACATCAAAATTATGAACACATTTGACATCAGCATCACGTCTTCGATATGTCACCTTGATTTTTGTCTTAACCTGCAAATTTTGTACATATTTGTGTTCATAACTTTTGGAGATGATTGTATATATAATTCCATCGATAAAGAAAACTCAAATAATTTTATGGAGAGTTAGAACATTAACATAGTCCAGATTGAAAAGATTTAATTATTGTATGTGAAAAAATATCTTTTGACATTTTCTCATACTTTAATTTAATATCTGATTATTTTAAGTTGAGGTTAAAAACAGAATCTTTTCTTAAAAATTGTATCGAAATTCTCGAATAACACTTTTATGTAATAAGAAAAAATTGTTAAAGTGACATTTTTTTGAAAGGGATGGACAAACACTCAAAAGGAACAAGATACTAAAAGCAAACACTCAAAGGAACAAATACTTAAAGTGCAATTCACTCCGGATTATTTAATAGAAATTATAAGTAGGCAGTAGCTAATTAGCACTTAATTAACGATCAAAAATTCAAAACAAGGTTTAGTAATCATCATAGTAGTCACCAAAGACCGAACCTAAACTGCATCCAAAAGAGCTGATTATTTCTATAATTCAAAGGTATAATTTTTGAAATAATCTATTTGACAATTTTATTATGAAATATGACCATTTCATAAGAGGAGTCCAATAGTTTGCTTTCAATATGCTATTAGTCTGCCAATAATTTGTAATTAGTTTACTATTACCATTAGTTTACCATTAGTCTATATTCAATTATTTGACTAATTAGTCTGTCACTAGTATGCATTTAATCTGCCGTTAGTCTGTCATTAATTTACAAATAACAATTGTTAAAAAGGAAACCGCTGGTATTTATAAAAATCAGAAAAAGTGGTTATTTTTACAATTTTCCCTCAATGTAATATCTATTTCTGGACTATTTTAGAATATTTTCTCTAATTTAAAATCATTTCTATGCTTAAAGGATTCAGGAAAAAAAACTCAGAGAATTGGGCCAAGTTTTTAATTTCTTTATATTCAACAAAAGAAAATCATGAACAGTTTAAAGCTTCACACAGTGAACAAATAATACTAGGAAATAAATTAAACCAACAATAAGTAAACCAATAAACCCAGTAAACAATAACAATTTAAGGTCGAAGATTAGCAAGTAAGGGCTGGATTCGAGCAACAGGAGTGCATCTAAGGGGATGAGCCATACTCAGATTCAGTCCTCCATCCTCTTCCATGTGAACCTTATCATCTTTGATTCTCCAGTCAAAGCACTGCACCATCATTCCAACAGCTGTTCGTACAAAGACATAACCTAGACGTGATCCAGGACAGCCTCTCCTCCCATTTCCGAAAGAAATGTACTTCAGTGCTTGCTCTCTTCTCTCATCTTCTTGCCCTGATCTTGAAGAAGTTAGAAACCTCTCTGGCCTAAACTCATTAGGATTTTCCCAAGAATCAGGGTCTCTCATCACAGCATAAGCATTGACAGCAAGTGTTGTGTTCTCCGGTATGTAGAACCCTCCCATCATACACCTTTTTTGTACTGTCCTTACAAATACAGGCAATGGCGGGTGCAATCTTAGACCTTCTTTAACGGCTGCTTGCAAATAAGGGAGGTTTGGTATATCAGTTTCTTGAATTAACCTTGTTTTCCCTACAACTTATTCGATATCTTCTCTAAGTGTCTCAAGAATATTAGTGTTGTTAATGATCTCTGCCATTGTCCACTGTATTGTTTGCGCTGAGGTGTCGGTGCCTGCAAAGAAAAGCTCCTACAGTAACAAAAACGTATCATATTAAGAAACAGCTATGATTCTCAACTGACATCAGAGCCTAATGAGAAGACGATTTACCACGAACAAAGACTTGATATGGCTCCTACTTATCATATGCTCTGCATTTTCATCCCGGCAAACTGCTAACAAAACGTCCATCATGTCCGTACCTTGATCCTCTTCCAGTATCTCTTCATGTTCCACAAGAATCTTCTCTAGAACCTCACTGAATCTGTTGGAAACACTCATTATTTCCTTCTTGAAAAGTGAGATTCCAAACTTCTCAAGAGGCTTGCACAGCAAGTTTGCCAACAAAATCTTCTTTGACAAACCATCTAATTCGGTAACCAAGCCCCAGATTCTCTCCGCTTCATTGTTTTCCTCTGTAAAAGATGTGAAAAGATAGATGAAACAGAGTTTTCTGTTCTCAAGAATCTCAGGTGAGACAGATGAAACAGATTATTATTGCATAAAATTTTGTGAAAGAACGTCACATAAGACAAATCTGAAGTCTTCTCTGAATATACTCACGTCAAATTAATAATACCACTAACTTAATCATTAGTGTTAATCTCCACATATGACAACTATAAAGAGCATTTAAATATTTGTCAAAATCTTTTAATATACTAGGCTTTTAACTCGCGCTATCTGTATTAATAATTTGATTTAATTTTTTGACTAATATCTTTTAAATTATCAAAACTATAATATATTTATAAAAAAATTCTTTTATATAAAAAATTAAAATATAATATGTAGTATTTCCTATTTTTGTTTATAAAATTATAAATCTTATTAAATAAAATCATAGTAATGACACCTAACGAATTATCCAATTTTGATGTGCATATGTTTGATTTAGAAAATGATTTTCTTACTAAATTTGGTGTTTTGTTTTGTATCTTTAGGATTTCTATGGTTTTTTTTAAAAGGTTTATATGTTTAAATATTTAGTTTCTTTACTAAATGTCTCACTAATATTGTGTATATATACATATATAATATATGATATATGTTGATTCAGATTTATTTTTGTTAGTAAGCTACACTAATCGTATAAAGCTGCTTTTTGCTTCTCCACCAGATCTTCTACGAATTTTAGGTTATATCTCTATTCAGTTTATAAGGTCTGTTTTATTTGCAGTCAACTATTTGCTAATATTTATTTTTAAACATGTAAGATGATGTTGAGACTTCACATTATCACTGTTTTTTATATATTTTATGTGTTTATTCATGTTTTGATTTGAATATTTTATCTTCATATATTCCCATTTGAATTTGGTTCATAACTTTGTCATATTATATTATTTAAATAAAAATTTAGAGGATGTTGCTCATGTGTTGTTCATGTTGACTAAGTTATAAGCAGTAAATATGTATACAAATCAGACTTTATTACTTATTATATTTTGAATGTAAAGTTACTTGTGTAGTATTTTACTTTGTTAATTTTTCAACCAGGCGCAACCAAGGTATTAATCTTTGTAAATTTAAATAATGTGTTTTATTTAAAAACTTGTATAACCTATTAAAACTTTACATGGTTATTCGTAGTCAACATAAATATTTTAGAAATCATGAATGTTTTTGGAACTATATTTCAAACTAATTTTCTTCTTAGATCTTATTTTTGTTATTTTAAATATCTTCGATGGTAATTTTATATTTTATTTTAATTATCTAATTTTCTGCAGGTTTGATATACTTAAAACATATATATTTTTAATTAATTTCTTTTGTTATTGATTTTTCATATAGGTAGCATATATATTAATCATATCTTTTACATAAATGCTTTTTTCTTTGTTAAATTTACTTTTAATATGAATTTTTAAAGTAGTTAGTCTGATACCAAGTCAATATATTTTTTTAAGTGTTTTTTTTAAATAATATTTTGTAAAACTTAATTTTTGTTTTAGTTTTTTAGTTAATTAATTTCTTAATATTGATTTCTTAAATAATTAGCTTAAATATTTATATTATTTTTGTTAGTTAAGTTTTTTAGTATTAATTAGGTTTTTTTTATTCTCTTACTTATTCTGTTTATATTGATTTTGTTAAATAAATAACATAGATATTAAGTTAATATCCTCTTTTTGTTAATTTAATTTTTTCGATATGGACTTTCATTTTAATTGTATTGACATGTTGTAATAAATAATTTATATTTTGGTTTTTGTTAGTTGAACATTTTTTTATATTGCTTTCTTCAGTAATTAGCATAAATTATTATTTTTGGTTTGTTAATATTTTGTGTTAATTTTTTAAATATTTTCTCCAAAAATTATAAGTTTTAAATGATTTTATTTTTTGATAATTTAAGATGAATGTTTTTTTTGGTAGTATTGATATTTTAAATAACAATTTTATATGTTTATATAAAAATTTAATCTTAATATTTTTTCTAAATAAATTATTCTTTTAAAATATATATGTTAAGTTTTTTTTTTTAATTTAACTTTTAGTTATTGATTTACATATCTGTTTTTATTAGTTTAGTATTTGTGACAATGAGTTTTTATTTTATTTTCATAATTGATTTTGACTTCTGACATAAATTTATTGTATTTAGTTAAAAAAATTATCTTAATTTTGCATTCTATTGTGATAATCTTATATTTTGTATGTTTTAATTTATTTAAACTATTAATAATATTTTTTATTTTTTATGTTTAATGAAAACACTGATATAGACTAATCAGATTGGGTATATATTTCCTATGTGGACTCTATCGTTGGCCTAATACATCAACACGGACCACAACTAATATATTTTAAGTTAGAAATTCAGATTTTAATTGTTTGTTGTGATTAAAATTTTAAAATAATTAAGTATAGTTTTAAATACAGTTTTTAATAAATTTGTTCAATATATATGATTTTTCTTTCATAATCTATTTATATGTTAATTTACCTTTTTTATTGTTAATAGGAAAGTAATATCTATTTTTAAAACTCTTTTTTATTAATAACTAACTTAAATTTTAGAAACTTTTCTAATAACAACAAAAACAAAATTATTTAAAATTTAGAAATTTTCCTTATAACAATTAAAACGAATTAATTAATTTTAATATATAATATATAATTAACTAAAAATAATGATGATGTGTACCAATAGAATTAAATCTTTAAATCCTACGTGGACATCCTTAGAGTCATTTAGCATCAATTTTTATTAGTAATAGATAAATGTCCACATAGATATTAACTAAGAGAGATTTCTTTAAATAATCTGTTTTGTAATTTTACTTTTTAACAGAAAACCTTTTTTGGAAAAATTATCATAAGAGATTTAATTTATGCAAAAAGTACTATTTCATAAATTTACTTTAAAATAATAACAAAATTGCCATTTATTTACCAATTATCCTAATAAATTGATAAATGTTTATATTGGAACCGCTAAACCAAATAATATGTTTTTAATATATTTATAAGTGTTGCTACCTGATTCTCAAATGTGGGATGTCTTCATCTTCTATTCCTTGTTTTTTATGCTAAACTGATATGTACAAACCGAGTTTCTTTAGTGATAATCATATTTTGCGAAAAGAAACTACAATACGTCGTGTTTGAGGTCTTCGCCAAATCTTTACAAAAAACAAAATTCTTCGTCTTTTGAGTTAGTCTACACAGCCTCTGCTCTTGCTCTGCAAAGAGGACTTTATGTTCTTATTCAGTCAGTGAGACGCCTGAATGTAGTCTCTGAAGCGTCATTCTTTGCGTTTATCAACATCACGTTTTCATACTAAAACATGGGATACCCTGGTCTTGTACTCATAATTTTTTTATGCTGGACCGACATCTGATGTACAAACCGAGTTTATCTGGTGGCAATATAATATTTTTGCGATATTTACCCTAGAGAAACTACGACATGTCGTGATTGATGTGTAGACCAAATCGTCACAGGATAAAATAGTAGTCATAGGTGAAGTGAGTCTGTGCAGTCTCTGCTTCTCACCTGCGGTTTGAAATATATGTTCGATATCAGTCCACGAGAGCCCTGTCTAACATCTGCGTCTCGTCATCTATGTGTTAATCAGCATCAGCTCCCAAAAAAACGGTGCAGTCTTCTGTCATTCTTAATATAGGATTCCCTCCTCTTGTCCCACAATCCAAGTTTATCTAGTGACAATATAACATTTTTACGACATTTACCCAAGAGAAACTATGACACGTTGTGATTGAGCTCAATTGGCCAAATCGTCACAGAATAAATAGTAGTCAAAGGTGAAGTGAATCTGTGCAGCCTCTGCTTTTCACTTGCGGGAGAAATATATGTTTGCCATCAGTCCACGAGACGCCTATCAGGTGAAATTAGTCTGTGCAGCATCTGCTCTTTACCTGCGGGAGGACATTATGTTGGCCATTAGTCCGTGAGACGTCTTTCTAACGTCCGTGTCTCGTCATATGTGTGTTTATCAACATTAACTCTATAAAAAAAATAGCGCAGTCTTTTGTCATTCTCAAACATGGGATGCCTTCTTCTTATCCTACAAACCCAGTGGTTATATAACATTTTGGGATATTTACCTGACAGAAACTATGACACATCATGATTGATGTCTTGGTCAAATCATCACAGGATAAAATATTCAATGGTGATGTTAGTCTGCGCAGCCTCTGCTCTTCTCATGTGGAAGGACTTTATGTTTGGCATCGGTCCGTGAGACGTCTGTCTAACATCTGGGTCTCGTCATCTGTGCGTTTATCAACATCATCTCCCCAACAAAACGGCACTATCTTTTGTCATTTTAAAATCTAGGGAACCCTCGTCTTGTCTTGTCCCACAATCCGAGTTTATCTGGTCATAATTTTCAAAAAATACGATTTTTGTAGATTATTGGAAGCAAAATCAGATAATTTTTTTTCAAGATAGTATAAATAGAGTTATTCATAATGGACGTGCAGACCTTTGTAGAATATATAAATTATACATTAAAGATTATCCTTATAATTATCTAATACTAAAAAAAAATGGGTGGAGATTTCTCTAAAACTTTTTTCCTTTTATGTTAGATCTCCTATATATTAATTGAGAAGCATTTTTAAAGATTAACCTCACTTTTGTAAAAAAATTACAGTGGTGCCATTTTGCTGATGTGTCACCACCATAAAACTTTTCAGAATTTATTTGAAAAAATACTTTTGTTACTGGAATATTTACATGTTATGCCATTATGCATTGTTATGACCAAACTTAAATTTAATTTTATAAAATATCCAAATGATATATTATTGAATCATATTAATTTATATAAATAGAACATCCAATTAAATATATGATGCATGCAATTTTATTTGCTATTATATATGACATGATGGATTTTTTTAAATGTATTCAACTGCTATATTATCGAGGAAAATAA